TAACCAGAGGGCTACCGGCCACTTACTATTCTTCCTATGTATGTCTTGGCGTGCGGAAGTTCCTATACGATGAACAAAAATAGCCAACACACAGGTAAGAAGACATCAGCGTCTGTTAGTTGCTATTGGGAACTTCCCCGTCACACGCAGAAGGTGTGAGTTCTACTCCGTGTGAGATATTTTAATCGAGTACCTTAGTCTGTCTGCTGGGACATAGTATCCCTCTCAGACGAAGTTGGCCCTGACAAGTGGAGTTGAAGTAGCCTGCCTCTTAGAATACTTAAATTATGCGATGGGGACGGGAAATATATTATACATTTACTTATTGATAATAAGGTTGACCTCCTCCTGTATCGTCGTTTAGCATTACATACTGTTCTAAAGGAAAGTTCCCTAAGTTCCTATAATCATAGTTCTTAAACTCAGCAGCTCTGGCTGTGACTTATCGCTACCTTAGAATCACAAAGTTCTATCTGCTCAGTACCTACTTTTGAGAAATCTGAAGCAAAAAAAAAATTAAGTTTAACAACATGCCAAGCGTTTTTTGAATTCTTTAAGTATCTTGATAACAAGTCAGAATAATCTCGCGATTTTGATAGAGCAGATAGAGCATTTGATTTCTGATCTCATAGTCCTAGTTACTCAAAACAGCCAAAAATGTCAGATAGGACTTTATAATGTATTAGATAGCGATATATCAAGAGGAAAGAGCTATGCAAATCAGGGATCTGATATCCTACATCACGCACCCTCATTGCTGGCGCTCTTCGCTCTCTTTGAAACTCAATTCACTGCGAGGAGTGCCCACAATGGGCAAAGCGCTATAGTCGAGTGCGCACAGCACCATGCCATCGTGTCGCTCATTTGGCTCAAAGAGAGTCAAACAGTGCGCGCCAGCGTGAACCGGAAATACACCACAATGCACTATTTAGGATAATATAATCTAAGACATTGCCTAATAACAGGGCAGAGTAGAATACAAAGTCCCAGTAAATGTACCCAGTTTCTCAGCAAAAAATACCCTTCCCACTCGGCAGTCAAACTTACGCCTTTTTGGTTCGAAGGCGAGGGACTTAACCACTACACCACAACATCGGTTAGTAATGGGGAAAGCTACTACTTTACTTTATCCGTCCTCTTATACCTCTAGTGTGTCTCAACACAGACAAGAGAAGAAGCAAAAAAAAGAAAGAAAAAGAAAAAAAGGGGGGTGACAAATTAGCGGGACCTAACTGTAACGCACTTTGACTGCCCACAAGAAAAAGGAATTGTGTGGGTTGGGTTGACTACACAAGAAACCAGGACAGCGTGGGAGGGAGGGGGATGCGTGGGTTGGGAGGGGGAGGAGGGGGTTGATGTACCCAGTGGCCGCCAACACTATAGATGGAATGTTGCACATAGCACAGTAAAACTACGCCAAATCGATGGTAAGAGCTTAAACAACGCACGTCGATACGACAACGTTACGGTTATTGAGTGCTGAGAAGGGTCAAGATAAACAGACTGGAATTTCAGAGGGACCGCCAGGACATTGAGTCTTTCAGCGGCGGTTTCCATTGAAATCACAACACAAAGTTATTGATTTCCAACAATATAAGTTTGATTGTAAATATTGTTCACAGTAGTTCATACCATTGATATAAATTAGAACGTCCATGGGGCGGACTGCTATTACAATGGCCGAACTGAAAAGGGATACTGTATCGAAATAAAAAGATGAAGAAACTCAATAGAATTAAAAAAGACTTCCCCACGTGGGGATCAAACTCACCTTTTTCCGCGTGCGGGGACGAAAAGCCTAACGATTACACTAAAGGCCCAATACATAGGTACTTTTTTCTCTCCTTCTCTTTCCTTTTTTCCTCTTATTTTCCTCCTTCCCTCTACATAAGTTCGTGTAATGCCTGATCGACTCACAATTTATTAGATTGTTTTGTTGGTTTTTGTTAAAATCAAGTTCACCTTTCCGTTTAACAGTGCAGCAAACAAAATCGCCTTTTGTTTTATATTGCTTTAATAAGCGTCTTACGGTATTTGCAACACAGTCAGGTCATATAAATGCCGAAGATCAGATGTGTTACCAGGGAGTAATAAACACAAAAAAGAAGGAGAAGAGATCTGAACGACAGGCAGTAGGAAAAAATCGCAAACCACACCAGAGCACCTGCGCGCTCATATGGCCATAATAATATGCTGTTGCGAGCGCCGTTAAACTCTTACTTAAACAAAACCAGAGCTCCTGCCAACAACCCGCCCAAAGGATGCTCCGACGGGGAAAAATAGCACAATTTGCAGATTTCTACCTGGTGAAAGGGTTCTCTTTGTAGTGACATGTACCGCAATAATGTCCCTCTAGTTTCAATGCTGATCTGGTGTGTGTGTTTGGTTGTTTGTTTGTTTTTATTAAGGAATGAGTTTCTACGCCCTCATCGATATAATTTTAGATCATTTATGAGGTGAGTCTCGACTCTATCATTCAAGACCAATCAGGACTGAAGGG